GGATTAAAATCCTGCAGCGCACGCAAGGTCCCCCTGCTCAAGCCAGCGCATGTCCAGGCCCGTCTGAAGTTTGCCAATGACCATCTGGATGATCCAGAGGAGAAATGGGAGAAGGTCATGTGGTCTGATGAGACAAAAATAGAGCTTTTTGGTCTAAACTCCACTCGCCATGTTTGGAGGAAGAAGAAGGATGAGTACAACCCCAAGAACACCAATCCCAACCGTGAAGCATGGAGGTGGAAACATAATTCTTTGGGGATGCTTTTCTGCAAAGGGGACAGGACGACTGCACCGTAGATCGCGAGATCTTGGCCAACAACCTCCTTCCCTCAGTAAGAGCATTGAAGATGGGTCGTGGCTGGGACTTCCAGCATGACAACGACCCGAAACACACAGCCAGGGCAACTAAGGAGTGGCTCCGTAAGAAGCATCTCAAGGTCCTGGAGTGGCCTAGCCAGTCTCCAGACCTGAATCCAATAGAAAATCTTTGGAGGGAGCTGAAAGTCCGTATTGCCCAGCGACAGCCCCGACACCTGAAGGATCTGGAGAAGGTCTGTATGGAGGAGTGGGCCAAAATCCCTGCTGCAGTGTGTGCAAACCTGGTCAAGACCTACAGGAAACGTATGATCTCTGTAATTGCAAACAAAGGTTTATGTACCAAATATTAAGTTCTGCTTTTCTGATGTATCAAATACTTATGTCATGCAATAAAATGCAAATTAATTACTTAAAAATCATACAATGTGATTTTCTGGATTTTTGTTTTAGATTCTGTCTCTCACATTTGAAGTGTACCTATGATAAAAATTACAGACCTCTACATACTTTGTAAGTAGGAAAACCTGCAAATTCGGCAGTGTATCAAATACTTGTTCTGCCCACTGTATGTGGGAACTCCTTCAAGACTGTTGGAAAATCATTCCAGGTGAAGCTGGTTGAAAGAATGCCAAGAGTGTGCAAAGCTGTCATCAAGTCAAAGGGTGGCTATTTGAAGAATCTCAAATATAAAATATATTTTGATTTGTTTAACACTTTTTTGCTTACCACTAATAAATTAATTATATGGATAATCTATGGATTTCACATGACTGGGCAGGGGCACAGCCATGGGTAGGCCTGGGAGGGCATAGGCCCACCCACTTGGGAGCCAGGTCCACCCACTGGGGAGCCAGGCCCAGCCAATCAGAATGAGCTTTTCCCCACAAAAGGGCTTTATTAAAGACAGAAATACTCCTCAGCGCATCCCCCAGCTTGATATTTTTGTTCAGTATATATACCATCAAGTCCAAGGAACTGTCCGTAGAGCTCCGAGATATAATTGTGAGAAGTTATATACAGTGCTGTGAAAAAGTATTTGCCACCTTTCTGATTTTCAGAATTGTTGCATATTTTTGAGTGTTGAAAGTTTCCTTGAGCACAGTGGTCACCATCATTGGAAAATTGAAAAAATATGGAACTAGCCAGACTCTGCCTAGAGCTGGCTGTCTGACCAAACTGAGCAACTAGGCAAGAAGGACCTTGGTCAGGGTGGTGACCAATAATCCAATGACCACTCTGACAGAACTACAGAGTTCCTTGGCTGAGATGGGAGAACCTGCCAGAAGGACAACAGGCTCTACAGCACTTCACCAATCTGCGCTTTATGGGAGAGTGGCCAGACGGAAGCCACTCATGAGAAAAAGGCACATGACAGCACCACAGGAGGCTGGTGAGGGGAGAACGGCTTATAATAATGGCCGGAACGGCGCAAATGGAATGGCATCAAACACCTGGAAACCATGTGTTTTTATATACACTGCTCAAAAAAATAAAGGGAACACTTAAACAACACAATGTAACTCCAAGTCAATCACACTTCTGTGAAATCAAACTGTCCACTTAGGAAGCAACACTGATTGACAATACATTTCACATGCTGTTGTGCAAATGGAATAGACAACAGGTGGAAATTATAGGCAATTAGCAAGACACCCCCAATAAAGGACTGGTTTTGCAGCTGGTGACCACAGACCACTTCTCAGTTCCTATGCTTCCTGGCTGATGTTTTGGTCACTTTTGAATGCTGGTGGTGCTTTCACTCTAGTGGTAGCATGAGACGGAGTCTACAACCCACACAAGTGGCTCAGGTAGTGCAGCACATCCAGGATGGCACATCAATGCGAGCTGTGGCAAGAAGGTTTGCTGTGTCTGTCAGCGTAGTGTCCAGAGCATGGAGGCGCTACCAGGAGACAGGCCAGTACATCAGGAGACGTGGAGGAGGCCGTACGAGGGCAACAACCCAGCAGCAGGACTGCTACCTCTGCCTTTGTGCAAGGAGGAGCAGGAGGAGCACTGCCAGAGCCCTGCAAAATGACCTCCAGCAGGCCACAAATGTGCATGTGTCTGCTCAAACGGTCAGAAACAGACTCCATGAGGGTGGTATGAGGGCCCGACGTCCACAGGTGGGGGTTGTGCTTACAGCCCAACACCGTGCAGGACGTTTGGCATTTGCCAGAGAACACCAAGATTGGCAAATTCGCCACTGGCGCCCTGTGCTCTTCACAGATGAAAGCAGGTTCACACTGAGCACGTGACAGACGTGACAGAGTTTTGAGACGCCGTGGAGAACGTTCTGCTGCCTGCAACATCCTCCAGCATGACCGGTTTGGCGGTGGGTCAGTCATGGTGTGGGGTGGCATTTCTTTGGGGGGCCAACTAAGAAGACAACTAAGAAGAAGGAAATTGTGACCACTTGTGGAAAATCAGAGCCTTACACCTGAGAACGAAGTAGAAGGCCCAATCGAACCCTTTCCACGAAGGCCTGGGTCCAACAGAGATACATGACGAAGACCTTCAACACGTAAATACACGCATTACTTCTTACCCAAAAGGGCTGGCAGTTCGGGGCAAGGTATTAGGATTACTGTGAGAGTAGTTCCCAAATGTATCCAAGTTGCTTCTCTTCCTCTCTCTCTCTCTCTCTCTCTCTCTTTCTTTAACTCTCCATTTTTTGTAACAAGTGTCATATTGTGTTAGTCCACTAGGGACCTGTCATCATCGTATTAAGTTTCTAATCAATAACCTATACCGTGTGTGTGTGTGTGTATCCTGTGTTATCATTTAGTTTGGTAGTAAATAAATAATCAAATCAATTTGTGTGGTACGGAATGATCAGTAAGACTCGGGTTTGTGCAGATTCAAGAAGTCTGCGACGTTCAGAATGAGACTGATATGAGTTAAATGATTAATAAGTGACTGTTATCGATATCTATATATTATTGAGTTTAATTCGGGAGATGGTAACTCGTTAAACAACTTCTCACGTGGTGCCCCAAATTCCTAACGAGTTAATTGTTACATGATTCATTTAATATAGTAACAATTAAACATAGTAGGTAATTATTTGATAAATAACAGTCATCACATTAATGAAAGTCACGTCACGACACTGTGCTCTATTGTATTGTACTGTACTCTACTGTACTTTTCTTTATTGTACTGTACTCTACTGTACTTTTCTTTATTGTACTGTACTGTACTCTACTTTTCTTTATTGTACTGTACTCTACTGTACTTTTCTTTATTGTACTGTACTCTACTGTACTTTTCTTTATTGTACTGTACTCTACTGTGCTCCACTGTACTGTGCTGTCCAAACTTGTGAAACATAGATGCCTATGATTGGTTCAGATTTGGTCCGGTCCGGACAATTATAGACATCTATGTTTGGACCAAATAAAGGCCAGTTTGAACGGGACCAAATTTAAACCAAACAGTCGTCTATGATTGGTTCAGAATTGGTGACGTAGAAATCAAAGCCGGTCCAAAAGATGTCGCCATCTGTAAAATGCTTAGTGGGAAGTGTATCCAACCACGGAAGAGTTTTGATATCTGCCACACCCCCTTTGAATCCGTTGTTTTGTCAGAGGAGAAAAGCATGCACACATTTAAAAACAATATGCTACTTATCCCTTTATCTATAAAATGTATTGTACAACTAACTTAATTTGTTTTTATCACTTTACACATTTATTTATTTTGGAATCCACCCTGTCAACGTAATTTGCTTGATGACGTGCAAGTGGAGAAGGAGCTTCTAATTTCATACAAGCGCATTTTCGTCCATGTTCACTCTCCCTGCTGCCTCTCCTCGATTACCTTTGACCTTTTTTTAAAGGAGGCAAGAGAGGACGGAGGAGAGAGGAGTTGAGCAAATCTAATCGATAAAAGGCCCAGTAGGAGAGACAAATAGACCATTGCCGTTCCCTTTGCTATGATGACGTTATGACTTGCAGTCTGGTGTCTCTTAAGTTTATCTAGTCAACAAGTGCTACAATAGCATCTGGGTCAGAGGAACGTAATACATACAAACAATCATAAACCTTAAAAACAGAGAGACGTACTTGGCATAACCCAGATCCCTAACACACTCCCCAAGCTAGGGGTGGCCAACCCTGGTCCTGGAGAGCTATAGTGTGTCAAAGCTTAGTAAGTAACACACCTGATACAGCTAATCAAAGTATTGATGAGAGGTTGATATGTTAAATCAGGTGTGTTAGTGCTGGTCTAGAACAAAAGCCTGCCCATTGCAATTCACTTCCCATTCATAGACAGATCCTTTAGTATTAGGAGAATACATACCAACTCTGACATAAATATAAAACTACATATGCTATACAGTACATATTGTGAATAAATACCAGTGACATCAGTGTCAGAGGTGAGGAACTGGTTTGGAATGCTGCTAAAGACTGAACTCTGACCTACAGGGTGCCATTTCACTGCTGACGAATGAAGAAGGGAATAAAACAAGAATAGACGAGAATCTACAATAAAAACGGAAGTACCGCGCATCTGCCAGCACTAGAATAATAAATCAGGCAAGGCTCAGGTGTCTCAGATAAAGAATGTCAGGAGAAGTATTTCAATGCTGTCATGTAGCTGATGGACGTAGTTTGGTCCAGGTGTATGGTGTGTCTAGCTGACAGACTTTAGTTTGACCCAGGGTTTGGTCCTGCGGATCAATGGAAGAAGATATGGTTGCAGAGCTCGTCCAATGGAGCCTCAGGGTCAGAGATCGCAAACTGGGCCACACCCTCGATCACTTTCCTTATCTCTATATCTATCTCCTGATGAGAGGAAGGACATGTGTGTGTGTACCTTGATCATCTCCACAGCAGCCATGTTGTTGGACAGAATGGGAGAATCTCAATTGCATACTGCGTGTGTCCTCATTCCTCTCCTCCTTCTCAAAACCCATTGGAGGAGAAGGTCAGAGGGGAGGGATCTCTGGCTTTCTCATCTAATGGGTTTTGAGAAGGAGGAGAGGAGAGAGAATGCGAGGAGAATGCAATTGAGATTCTCCCATGTGTTCCTTCAGCATAGTGATGGGGATACTCTTTCTGCCATTGAAATCCTTGGGCCTAAGCGTTTTTTTCAGGTCACCTAAGTCCAAACAGTTTTAAAATAATAATAATACACATTTACGCTTTCAGAGTAAAATTCAACGTCTAAAACCAGATATATGTAGAAAAGATAATGGCCCATTTATGTTTTTATAATCTTTGAGAACTAACAATCAGCTAAATAAAAGCTAGACAGTCAGGGAGAATTGAAAATTCCAAAAACAATGAATTTAGCAGTATTTTGTTATTATGTTTGTGGAAACAACAGGTATTTAGCCATGGCAAAATGCATAGAATTGCAGGAAATTAGCTTTAAAAACTGAAAATAAAGGTATTTTAAGGGAGGATGCGTGCACACTCTTTCAAACTCGGCTAGGCGCCAGCCAAACCAAAAGCATGTGGAAGGCTTAAAGGAGGTGAGAGAGAGGAGAGTAGGTGTGGGGGAGGAGTGAGGGGGCGGAGAGGGGACCGGCGGAGACGACGGTCACAGGGTCATGGATCGCTCATGCTGTGTCCATGGTAACGGTAGGTTTCCAGCTCCATGACAATAGGACCCTGCCAGAGATGTTTCCAACCAAAAGACATCACAAGGTGGCCAACCCGCCATGACACTGCTAAATAGCTTGATCAGGGATTTCTATTGGAGCTGCAGTTTCTCAGCATCTTTTTATATCTATGCTCTTTGGCCCTGCAGCACACCAGGAGTGGTTTAAACTAGGGCCAGTTGCAGCTCTGTACTGGAGTCTCTTCCACATAATGTCTCTATGCTGGTCACATAGCCTCCCTCTGCAGGGAAGAGACACTGGTTTGTACTGTTGTAGAAGTGATCATCTGAGATTAGATTGTCTGAGACAAAGTGATTCTTAACACTCTTCAAGCTCTTAAACCCGTTATAAATTGCTAATCTCTCCACCAATCAGAAATCGTCTTCTCCAGCTTACATTCCAATCATAGCTCACCTTCCCGGCTCTGCAGTGGTCTGCAGCTGACTTGATGGCCTCCCTCACACACAGAACGTCCAAAAACCGGTCCAGCTAAACCCCAGAGACAAGAAGGTCAATATAGCAGAGATACGTACCTCACTGACTGTTGTGTCCTACCTTGAGGCCAGGAATGTAGTCTGCTCTCTTGAAGTACTTCTCTACAGACGTCCACATGATTAAGTTGTTGTTCTCACAGATGAAGATACATGATCAACTCCCACAGAGCCACCAAGATGAAGACTCAAAGATCTGGCCCTGATGGCAAGACGAGGATAGTCGATGATCAGATGACTTCATGCTTTACTGTAACCGCTAGATAGATTGAACAAGTCTCACTTGGTTGGCGCTCCGTCTCTGTACAGCGTCACAACACGCCTGGCTGTTGCACCTGGTAAGACAGGGTAGGGCCACACTGTGACACACACATACACACACAAAGCGTACCCCACTCTGTTTTGGTAAAAAGCTGAGGGATGGGCCTGAGAATGCAACTCACCCTCAAATTTATGGAGCTATGGATCAAGGACTAACCATCCATGATATCAAAAGTATAGTTTTAACTATGTTTTGAAGCTATACAGTGTTGTTTACAAATTATGTTTACAAACAATGAGTCAAAACAAGCTTATATTTGTGCTTCTGATGGGTTTAAGACAGATAAGCTAATGAAGCATTTAAAGTACATTCTTCAGGCTTTATCAATAATTTTGTACAGTCCACAAATTGATAGTACCAATCCCAGATTGTCCCTTTAAATCAGGGGTTTCCCAAACTTTTTGGCCCATGCAAACATTTTGATAACATTTTTCACACCCCATCCATGTATGTGTAAAAAAAAGTATAAGTAACCCAAGGGGCCCCATTTTTTTGGGAGAAAAAAATTTTTAAACTTTTTTAAAAAAGATAAAAAAAGGGGAAAAGCACTAGCCTTAGGGAGTCTTCTCCCCAATTTTTTGGTTTCCTCTGTAGTGTAGGCTTTGTTATGGAAGGTTTGGGAATCGCTTCCTTTAAGTGGTTACTATCTGCCCCGTGATTCCCCCATTGTTTTTACCGTTGTGTACTGTTGATAATCACAAGTTTACTGGAGAACTGAGACCAAGTAGAGACTTTGGACAGGGTGGATATGGTATAATAAAGGCAGTTTATTCAGAGGTAAAGATATCTGGAATCGCGTGCACGGACTCGTTCGTGCACGCGAGTAAAGTAAAAGTGTCCTGTCTTAGGTCAGCTAGGATCACCACTCCTTGGCCACCTGCTGACAAGGCTGACAAGATAGGACTCTTTTGTCCATTGTTATAGGATAGGAACAGAAACAAACGCCCAACACAAAATGGGTCATGCACAAGATTTTAGTCAGACCAAGCTATAACATTATATATTTACTACGACAGTACATTCAACCAAAAGCTAATATAACAAAGGCATCAGAGATTATTTATAATCTGTCACAGAAACTGGAATCCATCTCCCCAGATCAGTCAATAAATGCTTCTGGTATTGACTTATATGCTGCCCCTGTCTTCATGTTGTTGCTGGACATATCTTTTTAAAAATGTGTGTAGGTCACCTAAATCATCAGAAAAATTGCCCCTCCTGAGAATTTTTTCAGGAGCCGCCACTGCCTACAGGGTGACCATTTCATCTCTTATTGTGCGTTTAGAGAACTAATGAGAGAAGGGAATGAGAGAAAGAAGAGAAGAGAAGAGAAGAGAAGAGAAGAGAAGAGAAGGAGAAGAGAAGAGAAGAGAAGAGAAAGAGAAGAGAAGAGAAGAGAAGAGAAGAAGAGAAGAGAAGAGAAGAGAAGAGAAGAGAAGAGAAGAGAAGAGAAGAGAAGAGAAGAGAAGAGAAGAGAAGAGAAGAGAAGAGGAGTAGACTTTCACCCAGGGTTTGGTGTCGCAGAGCGTCGGAGGGGATGTGTAGCTGATGGACTGTAGTTTGGTCCAGGTGTATGTGTGTCTAGCTGACAGACTTTAGTTTGACCCAGGGTTTGGTCCTGCGGATCAATGGAGAAGATATGGTTGCAGAGCTCGTCCAATGGAGCCTCAGGGTCAGAGATCGCAAACTGGGCCACACCCTCGATCACTTTCCTTATCTCTATATCTATCTCCTGATGAGAGGAAGGACATGTGTGTGTGTACCTTGATCATCTCCACAGCAGCCATGTTGTTGGACAGAATGGGAGAATCTCAATTGCATACTGCGTGTGTCCTCATTCTTCTCCTCCTTCTCAAAAATTCTCCTTCCATTGGAGGAGAAGGTCAGAGGGGAGGGATCTCTGGCTTTCTCATCTAATGGGTTTTGAGAAGGAGGAGAGGAGAGAGAATGCGAGGAGAATGCAATTGAGATTCTCCCCATGTGTTCCTTCAGCATAGTGATGGGGATACTCTTTTCTGCCATTGAAATCCTTGGGCCTAAGCGTTTTTTCAGGTCACCTAAGTCCAAACAGTTTTTAAATAATAATAATACACATTTACGCTTTCAGAGTAAAATTCAACGTCTAAAACCAGATATATTTAGAAAAGATAATGGCCCTATTTATGTTTTTATAATCTTTGAGAACTAACAATCAGCTAAATAAAAGCTAGACAGTCAGGGAGAATTGAAAATTCCAAAAACAATGAATTTAGCAGTATTTTGTTATTATGTTTGTGGAAAACAACAGTATTAGCCATGGCAAAATGCATAGAATTGCAGGAAATTAGCTTTAAAACTGAAAATAAAGGTATTTTAAGGGAGGATGCGTGCACACTCTTTCAAACTCGGCTAGGCGCCAGCCAAACCAAAGCATGTGGAAGGCTTAAAGGAGGTGAGAGAGAGGAGAGTAGGTGTGGGGAGGAGTGAGGGGGCGGAGAGAGACCGGCGGAGACGACGGTCACAGGGTCATGGATCGCTCATGCTGTGTCCATGGTAACGGTAGGTTTCCAGCTCCATGACAATAGGACCCTGCCAGAGATGTTTCCCAACCAAAAGACATCACAAGGTGGCCAACACCGCCATGACACTGCTAAATAGCTTGATCAGGGATTTCTATTGGAGCTGCAGTTTCTCAGCATCTTTCTATATCTATGCTCTTTGGCCCTGCAGCACACCAGGAGTGGTTAAACTAGGGCCAGTTGCAGCTCTGTACTGGAGTCTCTTCCACATAATGTCTCTATGCTGGTCACATAGCCTCCCTCTGTCAGGGAAGAGACACTGGTTTGATACTGTTGTAGAAGCTGATCATCTGAGATTAGATTGTCTGAGACAAAGTGATTCTTAACACTCTTCAAGCTCTTAAACCAGTTATAAATTGCTAATCTCTCCACCAATCAGAAATCGTCTTCTCCAGCTCTACATCCAATCATAGCTCACCTTCCCGGCTCTGCAGTGGTCTGCAGCTGACTTGATGGCCTCCCTCACACACAGAACGTCCAATGCCGTCCAGCTACACCCAGAGACAAGAAGGTCAATATAGCAGAGATACTGTACACTCACTGACTGTTTGTGTCCTACCTTGAGGCCAGGAATGTAGTCTGCTCTCTTGAAGTACTTCTCTACAGACGTCCACATGATTAAGTTGTTGTTCTCACAGATGAAGATACATGATCAACTCCCACAGAGCCACCAAGATGAAAGACTCAAAGATCTGGCCCTGACTGGACAAGACGAGGATAGTCGATGATCATGATGACTTCATGACTTTACTGTAACCGCTAGATAGATTGAACAAGTCTCACTTGGTTGGCTGCTCCGTCTCTGTACAGCGTCACACACGCCTGGCTGTTGCCCTGGTACAGACAGGGTAGGGCCACACCTGTAGACACACACATACACACACAAAGCGTCACCCCACCTCTGTTTTGGTAAAAAGCTGAGGGATGGGCCTGGAGAAATGCAATCACCCTCAAATTCATGGAGCTATGGATGCAAGGACTAACCATCCATGATATCAAAAGTATAGTTTTAACTATGTTTTGAAGCTATACAGTGTTTGTTTACAATTATTGTTTACAAACAATTGAGTAAACAAGCTTATATTTTGTGCTCTGATGGGTTAAGACAGATAAGCTAATGAAGCATTTATAAGTTACATTCTTCAGGCTATTTATCAATAATTTTACAGTCCACAAATTGATAGTACCAATCCCAGATTGTCCCTTTAAATCAGGGGTTCCCAAACTTTTTTGGCCCATGACAACATTTTGATAAAAAAATTTTCACAACCCCACCATGTATGTGTAAAAAAAAAGTTATGTAAAAGTTATGTAATCAACGGCCAATGTTTACTTTTTATTTATCTGGGCTATGACAGTCTATTACAAATCAGTCTGACAGTATCTCAATCTGAAGATTTGAAGTGACTGAAATGCATCAGAAAGGTATTGGGAGGTTCAGAAGATCATACTATTTTCTACATTGTAGGCCTTCTTTAGCTCAGTTGGTAGAGCATGGCGCTTGCAACGCCAGGATTGTGGGTTCGATTCCCATGGGTGGCCAGTATGAAAAATGTATGCTCTCACTAACTGTATGTCGCTCTGGATAAGAGTGTCTGCTAAATGACTAAAATGTAAATAATAGTGAAAACATCAAAACTATGAAATAACACATATGGAATCATGTAGTAACCAAAAAAGTGTTAAACAAATCAAACTATATTTTATATTTGAGATTCTTCAAATAGCCACCCTTTGCCTTGATGACAGATTTGCACGCTCTTGGCATTCTCTCAACCAGCTATACCTGGAATGCCTTTCCAACAGTCTTGAAGGAGTTCCCACATATGCTGAGCACTTGTTGGCGGCTTTCCTTCGCTCTGCCGTCTGACTAATCCCAAACCATCTTAATTGGGTGGAGGTCGGGAGATTGTGGAGGCCAGGTCATCTGATGCAGCACTCCATCACTCTCCTTCTTGGTAAAATAGCCCTTACACAGCCTGGAGGTGTGTTGGGTCATTGTCCTGTTGAAAAACAAATTATAGTCCCACTAAGCCCAAACCAGATGGGATGGTGTATCGCTGCAGAATGCTGTGGTAGCCATGTTGGTTAAGTGTGCCTTGAATTCTAAATAAATCACAGACAGTGTCACCAGCAAAGCACCCCCACACCATAACACCTCCTCCTCCATGCTTTATGGTGGGAACTACACATGCGGAGATCATCCGTTTACCCACACCACGTCTCACAAAGACACGGCGGTTGGAACCAAAAATCTCCAATTTGGACTCCAGACCAAAGTACACATTTCCACCGGTCTAATGTCCATTGCTCGTGTGTCTTGGCCCAAACAGGTCTCTTCTTATTATTGGTGTCCTTTAGTAGTGGTTTCTTTGCAGCAATTCGACCATGAAGGCCTGATTCACACAGTCCCCTCTGAACAGTTGATGTTGAGATGTGTCTGTGACTTGAACTCTGTGAAGCATTTATTTGGGCTGCAATTTCTGAGGCTGGTAACTCTAATGAACTTATCCTCTGCAGCAGAGGTAACTGGGTCTTCCATTCCTGTGGCGGTCCTCATAAGAGCCAGTTTCATCATAGCGCTTGATGGTTTTTGCGACTGCACTTGAAGAAACTTGTCACAACACAACTGATTGGCTCAAACGCATTAAGAAGGAAAGAAATTCCACAAATTAACTTTTAAGAAGGCACACCTGTTAATTGAAATGCATTCCAGGTGACTACCTCATGAAGCTGGTTGAGAGAATGCCAAGAGTGTGCAAAGCTGTCATCAAGGCAAAGGGTGGCTATTTGAAGAATCTCAAATATAATATATATTTTGATTTGTTTAACACTTTTTTGGTTACTACATGATTCCATGTGTTATTTCATAGTTTTGATGTCTTCACTATTATTCTACAATGTAAAAAATTGTCAAAATAAATATTAACCCTTTTAATTAGTAGGTGTGACCAAACTTTTCACTGGTAGTATATATATATATATATATATATACAGCTCTGGAAAATATTAAGAGACCACTGCAAAAATATAAGTTTCTCTGGTTTTACTATTTATAGGTATGTGTTTGGGTGAAATTAACATTTTTGTTTTATTCTATAAACTACTGAAAACATTTCTCCCAAATTCCAAATACAAATATTGTCATTTAGAGCATTTATTTGCAGAAAATGACAACTGGTCAAAATAACAAAAAGATGCAGTGTTGTCAGACCTCGAATAATGCAAAGAAAATAAGTTAATGTTCATTTTTAAACAACACAATAATAATGTTTTAACTAAGGAAGAGTTCAGAAATCAATATTTGGTGGAATAACCCTGATTTTCAATCACAGCTTTCATGCGTCTTGGCATGCTCTCCACCAGTCTTTCACATTGATGTTGGGTGACTTTATGCCACTCCTGGCGCAAAAATTCAAGCAGCTCGGCTTTGTTTGATGAGGGGTTCAGGGGGGTTCAGGTCTGGAGATTGGGCTGGCCATGACAGGAAATTGATCTGGTTGTCCTCCATCCACACCTTGATTGACCTGGCTGTGTGGCATGGCGCATTGTCCTGCTGGAAAAACCAATCCTCAGAGTTGGGGAACAATGTCAGAGCAAAAGGAAGCAAGTTTTCTTCCAGGACAACCTTGTACGTGGTTTGATTCATTGACAAAGACAAATCTGCCCGATTCCAGCATTGCTGAAGCACCCCCAGATCATCACCGATCCTCCACCAAATTTCACAGTGGGTGCGAGACACTGTGGCTTGTAGGCCTCTCCAGGTCTCCGTCTAACCATGAGACGACCAGGTGTTGGGCAAAGCTGAAAATTGGACTCATCAGAGAAGATGACCTTACTCCAGTCCTCTACGGCCCAATCCTAATGGTCTTTTGCAAACCTCAGCCTGCCTCTTCTTTGCTTCTCATTGATGAAGGGCTTTTTTCTAGCTTTGCACGACTTCAGCCCTGTCCCTAGGAGCCTGTTTCGAACCGTCCTCGCCGTGCACTTCACCCCAGCTGCCGTTTGCCATTCTTTTTGTAGGTCACTTGATGTCATCCTACGGTTGTTGAGTGACATTCGAATGAGTTGGCAGTCATCCTGGTCAGTAGAGAGACGTTTTCGCCCTCTGCCGGTCTGTAGCTTTGTTGTCCTCAATGTCTGCTGCTTGACCTTGTTCTTATGAACCGCCGTCTTTGACATTTTAAGGATGGAAGCAACCTGATGCTCACTGTATCCCTCTGCCAGTAAAGCCAGAATTGAACCCTTCTTTTCCTCACTCAAAACTTTCCTTTTCAACTCTTTTGGCATGGTCAACAGTTATTTTTTTGATTAAAATTACTTTTGAGGTACTATTAGCACTGTTTTTGCCATCCAGCTGGTGCTATTGCAAGAGGATAGTGATGACCACAGCAGTGGATTTGATACTTTTCCTCATTAAATAAGATTTGGTTCATGTGATCACCTAATCAGTACCTAATTCAGTAGAATGAGGTGTGCCTGTGTTGGAATTCAACAGACACTGGAATGGAAAGGCTGTCATACATGTAGAGATGCTGATTTAAGACAAATGTGCAGTGGTCTCTTAATTTTTTCCAGAGCTGTATATATATATATATATATATATATATACACACACACACACAGTGCATTCGGAAAGTATTCAGACCACTTTTTCCACATTTTGTTACGTTACAGCCTAAAATTTATTAAATTGTTTTTTTCCCCTCATCAATCTACACACTATACCCCATAATAACAAAGCAAAAACAGGTTTAGACATTTTTGCAAATTTTAAAAAGAAAAAGAATATCACTGAAATATCACATTTCCATACGTTTTCAGACCCATTACTCAGTACTTTCTTGAAGCACCTTTGGCAGCGATTACAGATTCAAGTCTTCTTGGGTATGACGCTACAAGCTTGGCACACCTGTATTTGTGGAGTGTCTCCCATTCTTCTCTGCAGATCCTCTCAAGCTCTGTAAGGATGTGTGGGGAGTGTTGCTGCACAGCTATTTTCAGATCTCTCCAGAGATGTTCGATCAAGTTCAAGTCCAAGCTCTGGCTGGGCCACTCAAGGACATTCAGAGACTTGTCCCGAAGCCACTCCTGCGTTGTCTTGGCTGTGTGCTTAGGGTCATTGTCCTGTTGGAAGGTGAACCTTCGCCCCCAGTCTGAGGTCCTGAGCACTCTGGAGCAGGTTTTCATCAAGGACATCTCTGTACTTTGCTCCCTTCATCTTTCCCTCGATCCTGACTAGTCTCCCAGTCCCTGCCGCTGAAAAACATCCCCACAGCATGATGCTGCCACCACCATGCTTCACCGTAGGGATGGTGCCAGGTTTCCTCCAGACGTGACGCTTGGCATTCAGGCCAAAGAGTTCAATCTTGGTTTCATCAGACCAGAGAATCTTGTTTCTCATGGTCTGAGAGTCCTTTAGGTGCCTTTTGGTAAACTCCAAGCCGGCTGTCATGTGCCTTTTACTGAGGAGTGGCTTCCGTCTGCCCACTCTACCATAAAGGCCTGAATGGTGGAGTTCTGCAGAGATGGTTGTCCTTCTGGAAGAATCTCTAATCTCCACAGAAGAACTCTGGAGCTCTGTCAGAGTGACCATTGGGTTCTTGGTCACCTCCC